ATATATATATATATATATATATATATATATATATATATATATACATACACACACACAAACAGTAGTTGTCTCTACATGATCAGTTTAAAAACAGATTTCTCTTCATGCAGTCATTAAAATCAACATAAAAGTTTGCTCCCCCGAGCATTACTGTTTAAAATAACAGTGCTGCTTTACTTGTATGTTTTCACTTTATTACATTCTATATAACTACTAATATAAATTTTTACTAAAATGTGTACATGTTTGAGCCATTACCAAATACAATACTGTGTTTATTAGTTTATACCACAAATGAAGAGTGGAATACCATCACAGTAATGACTGGGAGAAAAACAAGTTTCAAGTACCAGGTCTATATTTTTATCAGAGTAATACATGGTTAACTCCCCATTTAGTAAGTACCTGGTTCCCAGGAGAGTTTTGCACTGAAAAAACTTTGTTTCATCATACTTTACCTCGCTTCTCTTTTTCTTATTTTCATTATCATTTAGATTCTCTATACAAGACACTGGAGATCTAAAGGCAATTAAAGTTTAAAAATAGAATAACAGTGCCTCAATTAAACATGAAAAAAAAAATTAACAGTTTTAAATGTGGTATGAGCTGTTAGAGAAAAAAAATTACCAAACCTGTAAGTGTACTGTGCATGTATTTAGTAATGGTCTGCTCTGCTTCACTGGAATCTCATATTAATGAGCAAAATTACTTTTGAAGGTATTTACAACACATTGATTAATGACTTCTATCTTCAATTTGCAGCAAATAAACTTAAATAAACTAATAGGCTTCATAATGTACAATATACGAATCTAATCAAAAAAGCAATTTGTCTAATAAATTTAATAAAATACCTAAAGTGGAAATAAAACACAAATGAAACAAGTTTGTTTCAACTTCACCATTTCTTAATTGTTTACTGTGAAGTTAATATAATGTTTTACTATTCCTATGTCAATTTAGGTTTATTTGTCTTGTAAATTCCCTGAGAAGACTATTTGAAGGTGAGTACTCTGTTTCTCAACATTTCTTAAAGAAATGGATTTTTCTTCAATATTACTGGTGGAGGATAAACATTAAATTCTAACAATTTGTTAAAATGTCTTCATCATTTCATATTAGTATGTGCTGAAATAGTTTTTGTGGTAAAGAAAGTTATGAAAATATTGCTTTCGCAAAAAAAAAAAAAATCAAATTTTGTGCACTGTACAATGTTGTAATAACAGGTATTTGCTTTGGTATTAATCCCCAAAAGCATTCTTTCGCTGGTATATTTATATTTTGTTGTTAGGAAACAATGTATGAAATAACAAAAATGCCTTTTCTTTCTTTTTTAAAAAGCTATGTCTACTAATGTACAAATTTGGCATCTTTTGCTACATGATCACAAGGAAAGAATTCCATATAAATAGTTCTTATAAAAAACAAAAGCTTAATAATGCAGTTTTTTTTTTTTGCTGTTTAACTTCTAAAAAGAACTATTAAATAAAAATTACAAAAAAACTAACTATTTCTAAACAAAGTACTTTGGATAAAAAATTAAACATTGTTGATACCAAATTCTTCTCAATTTAGGTTTAACATTTAGCATATAAGGAAATTACCAAGAACATTTATATAAACAAAAACTTTCTTCAACATTACACACTTATGTTCACAGTAGCAGCACAAGTCTATTCATTCCTACTGATTTCTGTAGATGGGCTGTACAAAGGTGTGTAAGTCTTTTTCAGTCTCATTCATAACACTTTAGAGCTAATATTATGAGATTATACACTGAAGTGATGCATTGTTGTAGTTCACTTATCACTAACTCAAGTATGGCTTTGCCACAGATGTGAGAAAACAGCACCATAGAAGAAGGCAGAGATTTTTCACACTGTTGCTTTGTCAACATTTGACTGAATAGTGGGGACACTTTTTGGCTGTAAATATAAAGAACAAGCTTAAACAATGAATGTATTTGTCATGCATTAAATAATGGTTTGATGTGCTTCACTAGAATTCCACAATAATGAACAGAATTACTGTTGAAGGTACTTACAACACACTGATTAATGACTTTTACCTTCAAACTGCAGACATCATAAACAAGTATTTATACCAATAACAACATTTTACTAACTTACAATCTTAAAGTTAACATTTTCTTACACTGATAACGTATTTCTGATAGGTACTTACCTCCATGCACACAAAGGGCTACCTCGGTCGTTGACTGCCCAGTTGAGTGCACCAGTCTTTATACTCCACCAGTTTTGCACCATTTCTGAACATGTACATATCTTATGACTAATCTTCACTAATAGTATTATGCTACCTATAATGTCACAACTAGCTCTCTCTGCTATTCCCGCTCAATCCTCGCTTTCGAGAGTTGGCAGGTACTAGAATAAAAACACCAGTTTTAATGAGGAGAAAGGATGGGAAGTGTGTGAGAGGGGTAAGTACATATTGGAAATACATTTAAAGTGTAAAAAAATTTAACTTATGAAATGGACTTACCTCCAAAAAGGCTAGAATCCCACACTGCAAAAGTGAAGGGCTAGTGTCGGTATACAAAGAAGAAACCAAGCAGAAAGCAATCACCCAGAATGAATGGGTGTGCTTGGAGATGAAAATGAAGCACACCTGTGGAATATAGCATTACTTCTGAAAAAGGTATGCTCTTCACCCAGGAATTAGGATAGTAACATAAAATGGGCAGAAAAGTTAATGCTTGCACAATTATAAGAGTATTAAGAAGGTACAAGCTGTATCAACATATAATGAGATAAGAAAAAAGGTTACAACAATAGGTGGCTAGGGCATGTGGACCATGTAATCAATACCCAATAACCCCAACCATAAGTAAACAGAGTGCTGTACATCAAGCAACCAGAATTACGAAAAGGAAGTGAGCAAATGGTCATAACTAGACAATCTCCCAAAACCAGTGTGGGAGCAAGAAGAATGAGAAACTGAACAGGGTTTTCTTGTTGCCTCGACTCAACCATAAGAACAGGGAAAGCTGTAACCCGATATTACATGCAAAATCAGAACTGACTCATCCATAAATGCAAGGTAGAGACATCCTTATCCGGAATTATGATAAGGACAAGCAGTATTCGCCCAACTACAGAAACAGAGTGCAGATGTCCCATTGCTGATATTACCAGGAACAAAGTCTCTTAAACCCAGCTGTAGAAGCAGGAAAGAACCTTCTGCAACCAGAATTATGGAGAAAAGAGGTGTCTACTGCAAACAACCATAGGAACAGGGCATTATTATCCTGAACCCGGAATTATTACGAGGATCTCACGTAGGCTGGCCCCAAATAATATTTGATCATTGGTTTTATTGAGTGCATCTGGGGGGGAAGTGCCCTTATCTCCTGAGTGAATAAAAAGCATAATTATAGTAACACTCACGAGGAAGCCTCCATGGTCTACCACCCCAGCAACGGGGAAAGTAGTAGGGACTTCCATGTTCCACTCGTGGATGGTCCACTAAAGATATAATTATAATACACAGATATAGCAACTAGTGGTCTTAAAACACGCCATCTTAACTTAGAGCATTATATAGTTATTGCACTGAGTGTGAGTTTGAGACAAAGCATACCTGACCAGGCAACACCCACCACTAGGTGGGATCCATAAAGAAGCTTAGGGAAGCTAAAAGGAAAGGAAATGAGCAGACTTACCCCAGTTAAAGGCAAATGGATGTGTGCAGAATCGCAACGGGAGGAAGCCGATATCCACCAATGGAAGGAACAGCCAGTTCGTGTATATAATGAATGACGAAAGTATTGGGAGTTGTCCACATACCAGCCTGGATAATTTCTTCCAAAGGTAGGCGAAGGCGAGCAGCTAAGGACATGGTAATGTGACGAATTTGATGAGAAGAGACATTGTGGAGATGGCGACCTTTCATGGACTAGTCCAAATATGCCATCTTGGCAAGTTGACGAACCCAACCAGTGAGAGTTACTGGAAATAGATCACGGGACACAAAAGTGTTCCAAGAAATGAATAGTCAGGAACGTGAACCCTGAAAGGAGGCAGTAAGAGCCATATAACACCTCAAGGATCGAACTGGACAAAGAAGACTATCCAGATCAGAATGGGAGTACAAGTGGGAAATCAAAGGTAAGGAAATGGGTTAGAAAGACAAACAACATCCCTAGGCCACATAGGTCTTAGGCAGGAAGGACCAGTTAGGGTAGAGGATCACACAAGAGAAATGGTAAATGGTACGAGAAACATTAATGTCATAAATATTGGAACAACGGCATCCATAGGCAAGGAGGAGAAGGAAATAGGTCTTAACCCTTTGGGTGTCGGCTTCTAAATTTTTTCAGAAGGTAAGACTGCTCTCATAATATTTCATTCCAAGGAACAGAACTTATGGATGAAATTGTTTAAAATTTCACAAGGACATTTCTAAAAGTACGTAGTTTTAGAAAATAAAATACTTAAATTTTTTTTTCTGCTATTTCTAATAAAAAAATTCCTTATTTAATGTAGCTATTTGCACTAAGACTCTGAATAGTTCACCTGTAAGGTGATTTTTATAGAAAGTATAAAAATGATATATATTATCTTAGTTTTTCACATTTCATTTGCATAATCTCTAAAACCTCATAAATGAATATCGAAAATTTTTAAGGTAAATGTTTATATTTTATTGTCCATTTTCTCTACTATATCACTAACTCTTATCTATTATCATCAACATACAGTGCAATGAAATACAACTGTTTTCAAGTCTTTTTTTTTGTCATATATATAATTTCACATCTTTATCTTTTCACTTTTTTAAATTCTCCTTTCAAATTCTTTGTCATTTACTTTCTATGAAGACACGTTAACCAATACTCATGGGGCTTTATGAAGGAATTTTGGCAGACTCCACACATAGCCTCATTGAAAAAACAAGATGGCACTTACACATGCATTGTGTTTATTCAGCTTTCCCAATCCAGGTGACAAGTTAAACATATAAAAATCATTCAACCTTTCAATTATGAATTTTAAAATACAAATAATACATTATTAACTAAAATTTAAAAGTAAAACCTAAATGGAATTTAACTGTCTATCAATCTAATATGTATAAGGCGAGAAACTATAGCTAAATGCTAGGGACCTCGCACTTGACAATGAACTATTTATTTGAATGTTTATTCCTGTAAACCAAGAAACAACTCGATATGTATTTATGTACACACACATATATGCACAAATATTTGTTGTTGTTTTTTTATGATTTTAATGCTGGCTTTATAAAAATCCTTCATGAGCAGGGCGAAGGAGAATATCAATATCCCTGAACACCCCAGTTTGGGAATACTTCTTTCCTTTAAAAACTAAATCCTTGTTATGAAATGTTTCTTTTTTTCTTTTCTCTAAGTTACCCAAATAGACGGAAATCTGATTTTTCTATTGTTATATGCATGCCATTCAACTTCAACTTCTGGATGAGGGATAGAACTTTGGATAGAAGTCAGATCAGAGGGTAAGCATAGATTTGAAGACCCATACAATCCTTATTGAATGCATTTACAGTCAGAGCCGATGGGTGTGGAACGAGAGATGAAAAGGAAGGAAGTTTGGTGTGTGGCAAAGGCATTGATAAGCAGTGTCCCCAGTTGAGAACACATCCACCAAAAAACCTGTGGATGAAGGGATCACTTTGTGTGGAAAAAATCTGGATGGGACAAGATAAAAGATCAACAACCAGATTCATGGCTCCAAGAATATGGCAAGCTAACACCACCATGTCGTGATCATGGGCCCAGAAAAGAAGATTCAGAGTCCAAAAACACAGATCTAGATGTGGTTCCACCTTGCCTGCCAATATAATTGGCAACAGCAAAATTGTTGGAGTGGGCCATAACCACCATCCCCCGCAGGAGTGAAAGGAAATTGGCCAAAGCCTGATGGACTGCCAAAAGCTAGAGGATGTTGAAATGGAGTGCAGACTCCTTTACAGACCACAGACTGGAAATATCTTGAGAGTTGGGGGAAAAAAACCAACCCACAAAAGATGCAATCAGAAACATATGTAATTCTGGATGAGGTAGAGGAATGGGAACCCCCACCATGGTCTGATCCCAGTCAAGCCATTAGGCTAAGTCCACCCTAATCATGGAATGAAAGGTAAAAGGATGGTCCAAAGGATACAGGGAGACATTTCCATTGAAGTGAATGCATATGAGCTTGAACCATGGGAATGAGGGTTTCCAAGGAAGCCCACATACCCAAAAGAGATAGAATCTCTTGAGCTGTGAGAGAAGGAGAGGTAAGGGCATGACTGAGGTGTGAACTGAAGAAAACTCCCAAATGAACCAAGTACTGAGTGGGGGATAAGAACAAACTTCTCCTAGTTGATAAGAAAACCCACCCATGCTGCTTCCTATAGAAGCAAACATGTGTGATTGTGAATGGGAATAGATGAGCAAGTGCCAGTCATCCATATAATGATGAGTGCAAAGATCCAGTGAGTGAAGGTGATGAGCAAATAAGCGAACTGCTTGACAAAGCACATAAGGAGCTGAAGAGAGACCAAACAGAAGTGCCCTGAATTGAGAACAATTGACCCTCGTGGATGAACCAAAGAAAACGATGACTCTGGAGCAAAGGGAATGTGAAGATAGGCATCTGTCATGTTGAATTTGGTCATCCAGAGTTGCAGTGAGAGATAGGACTCCATAGCGAAGCCAGGGAGCTCTAGAAAGGAGTTCAGCTGGGACAGATCTATAATTGTTCTCCAATCACCCATCTTTTTTGGGGGCACAAAGAGATGGGGATAAAAACCTGGATGAGTGGGAACCACCCACTTGGCAGCTCCTTTGTGTAGGAGATCTTGAATGGCCTTGGCAAAATTACTGAGAGAGGAAGGATCCCAAGAAGGATGAAAGGAAATTGGGGACCAGAACTGAAGGCAAAAACCTTCTGACAGAACCCACAGATTTGTCGTGAATTGCCACCACATGGTTGAGAAGTGGAAAAATCTGGCTCCCACGGGACAGGAAACCTTTGCCGTGTCACCAATAACCCTGGCATCTGTCCAAAAAGGCATAAGTAAAACAAGGATAGGGGGATGGAAATGTAGAAAAGGGGCCTGTAGAAGATCTCATAGGGAGGAAAGGGGGAGATAAACCCTTCCAGTAAAGCATTTTTCCCTAACAAGTCCCAACAGCAAAGTAGCCAGGTATTGAGAGAAAAGGCAAAGGCCAATAAATGAACCATGGTGGCCCAAAGGAGGGTGCTGAGCTCTTCTGAAAAGACACCAGGAGATTAATGAATGGCCTCAGATATTATTTGGAGGGAGGAAAGGTAGTATAAAAGTGAAGTCAGGGATTTCTGGAAAACTGTACCTGATAGAAGTGGACAGAAGCCGCAGGATTTGAGCCCCACAGGGGAAGGAAAGGATCTAAATGCTAAGAATCCAAAAAAGGAACCGAGGCATGATGAAAAGCCAAGGCATACTGATTCAACAAACGAAGGAGATATGGCAGGCCTATACCCGACTGTAGTTGATCAGACAATCTTTGAGAAAGAACACTAATGTCAGGAAAAGAAGGAAAAACATAATAACTGGAAGGTGAACTTTCAGCCAATAAGGCAGGGGAAGAATCATAGGCTTTTGGGGAAACACGTAAAACATGACATACCTGATTGACAAGTTGCAAGAAGAGAGTGGGAGGTGAAATGTGATAAACCAAAAAAGGAAGGTGAGAGAAAAATAGAGCCCAAATTTTCTTTCTCGTGATGGTAGACCTCCTGAGAAACATGGTCAGGTAGACGATAAGAAGAAATTGCTGGATGATTGTAAGACTAACTCCCTGTAAATCAAGGCTTGAATTTCCTCAGCATATAAAATTGATCCCGTGTCTTGGGAAGTCTTCCCATGTGCACTGTCCTTTATGGTGGGAATATCATTGTCCACCACATTAAATCTCGAATTCATATTAAAAACTTAGAATTCGAAAACAAGAATTTAAGTGAATGTAAAAGTGTAGAAACAATTGAAAACAAACATGAAATTTAAAAAATTGTGAGATTAAACTTTGACTGAAAAGGTAACCAAGCACAATCAAAAACTGTAGTCACACTCAGAAAAATTAAAAACACATCTAAGCCGTGTCATGCCAATCGAAAAAGTGAGGATTGTGCATGAATAGCAAAAGAAGCTGGCTGCACCATTATAGGTAGTGCAATACTATTGGTGGAGAGTAGTCGCGCTGATATGTAACTGTTGAGAAATGGTGCAAAACTGGTAGGGTTTAAAGTCAGGTGTGCTGATTACTAAAATTATTTCAGTAATGCTTAGAGGGTAGTCAATGATTGAGATAGCCTTTGGGATGAGAGGAGGTAAGTTCATCAGAATAATCAGATTATTTACTTAAAGAGAAAATCAAATGCTATAATAAGCAGATTTAATTCTTAGTGTGATAACAATACATTAAACCCCTGTACACCTTTTCTAGAAAATGTCTCAGCTCTTTATTAACTCAAACTAAAAGCTTTACTAACACTGTTATATTTTCACAAGTTTACTTTTCCTTTTAAATATTTTCATTCTTGCCATTACAATATCTTAATCATTTTTAAAATAAGAAAAATAAAATAATACCTCTTCATCATCTTATTTGTTTCAATTAAAAATGTAACTAAAACAACATTTATTCTACATAATAAAAGTACATGTATTTCTAACTTTATCATTCTTCAACAATAAAAAATGTTAGTTTTACTTAACATAAGATCAAACTTATGGATCCTTTGCAGTAGCACCTCTTTTAAATGCAGTTTTATTAACTTGTTTTACAGCTTATTATTATAAAATCTAACATGCATAAGAAATTGTTTACTTCACATCTATGAGACTTCTTTACTTGTGATACAATAACCATTGTATATTGCATTCAAACTTCTGTTTTTTCCTCCTTTTTTTCTACATTTATATAGAAACTTAATTTCACTTAAAACAAAACCAAATAATAATAATAAATAATTTTGTAGACTTTAAATATGCAATCAAATACACAAGTGTCAAATATTTTATGCATGCAAAAAACTTGATTACTTACCTCTTGAAGCATACTTTTCATTTCATCTAAAACAGTTTCATATATTGGCTCTTCAGTCATATCAGATCGTTTTGTTTTTAATGTAGAATAGGCAGAAGAAGGTGGCTTCTTCAGAGTACTCTCACTGCGTGGGTGAATGGGCGGAGACAATTCCTGACGTCGTTGCATGGTTGCAGTGTACTTGAAGTTTGGATCTCGTGAGAAATCTGCCAAAGAAACAGCTCTTACATTTTCATCAGCTTAAGATGTTAAATGAGTATATATATATAAAATGCTTTATATCAACTGCATTTATAAACAAGGCAAAATTGCATTTCAATTAAATTATTAATATCTATTTATCAGTAAAAAGTAAATAAGCAAATTAAATGTAACATAAATTATATGAATCTCAGTTTCATGAACATACATGTATGTTTCATTTTATACTATGAGTAGTACACTTGGTATATTATAGCCTTGTACTTCAATAACAGACTACATAAACATGTATTTATATCAAATAACAACAGTTCATCCATCAGTAAGATTTTCGTGAATGAAAATTACTAGTATCTTTTGAGGGTATATATATTTACAAAATAATATAAAACTTACCTGCATAGGGTTTCTGGACTGGAGGCCGTGACCTCTTGGTTATCATACACACACAAATTGCTATGGCTATCACAACTACTATAACTGCTGCTGCTACCACTGGGACTACAATGTACAGAGTTTCTGACAAGTCCAAGTTGTGTATACTATGTCCTGTATCTGCATTGTCAGTTTTTGTTACTGGAGGGAAAAAAAATTAATTTATAAAAGAAAAATATAACTAATAACAATCTTCCCATATAATTATAACCATTAATATATGATAGAGGTTGATAATAAATACTATACAAAAATAACTGTACACCTCTTACTGTCTAAAGCTCAAAGGAATATAGGAAAGGTCATTTCAATTTTTATTATCTAACAATCATTAAAAAAGATAAACAGTCAACATATAAGATGTCAAAAATGAGGATCAGTGTTAACAGGCATGACTATCATACTAAATAGATATTTTGTTTAAAAATAATAATAAAGTTTAACTATCGGAAGATCTATTTTTTTCTAGATATTTCAATGAAACACTACTTGAATATTAACTCTCATACTTATTTTAGGGCACTGATCTTGCCAGTCCACTTTTTTTCTAGTTTTGACATTTTCTTGATCTCAAATATTACATTTTTATTTTAAACTTGACAGCTCAATGCAAGTACTAACTGCCAGGCTTTTAAAAATCTTAAAATATACCAACATAGAAAAATATCAAAATTTATTAATCAAATTCAAAAATGCACTGTAAACATACCAACCATTATCAGAAGTGGTAGGTATTATAACAATTAACTTTTATCTATCAATGCTTATAAAAGTATATACCAACTAAAAATAATGAAACATACATGTGTACTTCCATTTACTAAATATATTAGACATACATCAAGAAATATAGTTTGTGTACGAAAACACAGCAGTGCATGTATAAAACATTAAAAATGTCACTCAAGCAACATACCAAATTAGCAAACGAAACACACGTAGAAGTTTAACCCCTTCAAGTCAAGTCATGGGTGAAATGCCATATCATCTCATTTGTTGATTCACATTCAAAATTTTATTGAACTACTATTTCCTGAAT